AGAAAAAAAAACAATAGCTCCCTAATAGATGAAATGCACAAAAGCTATGTCAATTAATATAAGTCATTAGCTGATGTTATTATTAACTTAGAACTTACAGTAAGGGCAGGAAGCACATTTTATGTACTACTATATTATTGTCTATAATAACAGCATATACAGCATCTTCTCAAAAGGTATTTGTGGGAAAAGAGGATAAACTAAGCTTTATTATAGTAAAAAAAAAAATCATCTTAAAGCATTTACATTAAGGAGTAGGGCCCTGAATAATGGCTCAATTGGCTAATTTTCCTCCTTTGCAAACTAAGGGATCCGATTTTGGTGCCACTTCATGTCCTGGCTGCTCCACTTCTCATCCAGCTTCCTGATTTTGGCCTGAGAACACAGTGGAAGATGGGCCAAGTATTTGGGACCCCGCACCCACGTGGCAGACCCGGAAGAAGCTCCTGGCTCCTAGCTTTGGATTGGCTCAGCTCTGGCCATTGAGGCTACTGGGTGAGCGAACCAGCCAAAGGAAGATCTTTCACTTTGTCTCTCTCTATATATGTATATATATATTTTGTCTCTCTCTATATATGTATAAGATATTCTTTTCAAACAAAAATAAAATAAAATTTTACATTAAGGAGAAACTTTAAAGGTAAATTATATAAGCATTAAGATTATAATCATATCCCATAATATCATATTAATAATTTTTAAAGAAATTGTGATTTTTAGAATATCATGAATAGTCTGTTCACGACAAAAGCATTTACATTCACGGGGATTATAACATAAATGTAATAACAATGTCCTTGTAAAGCTGAACATCTTACAAGACAGTGTCAAATATTTCAGAGGTGTTTAAGTGACTCTACAGGGAAACTACGAAGCATAGTAATCAAAAGATCTCATTTTTACGATGTTATTTTAAGGTTTGTATTTTTAATTATGTCTTTGGCTGAGCACCTGTTCTCAACTTAATGCTTGTTCAACATGGTTACATCCAACAGCAAGTTTGTAATTTTTGCTAAAAAAAAAAAAATAAATCAACTAGGTCAACTTTATAAACACATAAAGTATTCCCAGACCAAAAATCTAACGTGATTGGTCATTTTTATTGGTGTGGTAGAGGATAGTAATATAAAAAAAAACATATTGGATCAAATATCTCTACTCTAGATATACTGTGTTTTCTATACATTTAGTATTTTCTACTACCAAAAGATCATACGAAAACAGTTTTGAGATTTAATCTGTTCAATGTAAACTCACATTTATTATGGCAAACTGTTTTACTCATAAAAAGAAACTCTAAATATTTTCTTTGCTTAATAAAGGAACTACCACAAAGATTTATACCAGCCTCTAAGTTCTGTCTCATTCATTCTAAATATGACGGTTACTTCTCTTACTCTGACTTCCTAAGAACCCATGGAAGATTTACTTCAGTGAAACATACATCCTAGTGGAAAAAAAGTAAAGCAATATTTTAGTTACTTTTTGTGCTCTTTTTCTTTTTGATATTAGTTCCAGTTTAAAAAAAAAAATCCTCATCCTTGAGGAAATTCAGTAGTGTACTCGACTTAATATTCATTAAATTTTTTAAATTACATTGAAAAGTTGAGTTTCAATTCATTGGACTTATACACAGGACAAAGTAGAAGAGAAGTAGTAAAAGTAGGAGAGATTGGATTTATCTTGTCATCTAAAAGAGACAAAAATGTTAAAAAAATTCATAACATATTGAATTTTGGACAATGAAAGGCAGTGGTTCCTAAAGTAGAAAAGACATGGATGTTCGCTGATTCAATGCCTTCAGTGACAGTTTAGGTAAAGCTCAGGGCGAGGTTGCCAGGTATAAGAAAATAGAAACACTACAGGGAGGAGATGGAATGCAGCAGCAGCATCCAGGAAACCAAGGAGGCTAGAGTGTGCAGGAGATAGCGTTGTAAGGAAGTTACTGAGCCAGCACACAGTAACTCAGCAGCTAAATCCTCATCTTTCAAGCACTAGGCTCCCATATGGGTACAGGTTCATATCCTGGCTGCTCCACTCCATTCAGGACCCTTCTTGTGGTCTGTGAAAGCAATAGAGAATAGTCCAAAGCTTTGGGACCATGCAACCACAGGGATACCTGGTAGAAGCTCCTAGTTCCTGGTTTTGAATTGGCTCAGTTCTGGACATTGAGGCCTCTTAAGAACTGAACAAGTGAATGGAAGATCTTTCTCTCTTTCTTTCTGTAAATTTTCCTTTCCACTAAAAATAAATTAAGATTAAAAAAAACAAAGCAAAGCAGGAAAGAAAGGAAGGAAGGAAAGAAGAAAGCAAGAAAGCAAGAAAGAGAAAGAAAGAAAAGAAAAAAGAAAGAAAGAATGAATGAATCCCAGCGTGGTAGCCTAGTCGCTAAAGTCCTTGCGTTGCACGGGCCAGAATCCCATATGGGTGCCAGTTCTAATCCCTGTGGCCATGTTTCCCATCCAGCTCCCTGCTTGTAGCTTGTGAAAGCAGTCCAGGATGGCCTAAAGCCATGGGACCCTAAACCCGCATGGGAGACCCAGAAGAGCCCCCCGGCTCCTGGCTTTGAATTGGCACAGTACCAACTGTTGCTGTCATTTGGGGAGTGAATCAATGGACAGAAGATCTTCCTCTCTCTCCTCCTCCTCTCTATATAGCTGAGTTTGCAAATAAAAAATAAATAAATCTTTTTTAAAAGAATAAAAAAAGAAAATTTGAGAATCTAAAATAATCCAGGGACCAACTAGGCATTAAATAAAAAGTCTCAGGTGCACAAAGAAACAGGGAAAAACAAACTATCAGTAGGTAAGCAACAGTCAAATCTGAACCAGAACTGTCACAGATAGGTAGCATCAAATAAAACTATTATTCTTTATTTTAAAAAGATTTATTTTTATTTTTATTGGAAAGGCAGGTGTACCAAGAGAGAAATGGAGAAAGACCTTCCATTTGCTGGTTCACTGCCCAGGTGGCCTGAATGACCAGAGCTGAGTCAATCTGATGTCAGGAGCCAGGAGCTTCTTCTGAGTCTCCCATGCAAATTCAGGTTTCCAAGGCTTTGGCCATCCTCAGTTGCTTTCCCAGGCCACAAGCAGGGTGCTTTTCCTGGCCACAGGAGGACTTGAAGTAATGCTCATATGGTATCCTGGGGCACGCAAGGCAAGGATTTAACCACTAGGCCATCATACTGGGCCCAATTAACTATCATTCTAACTATGTGCTCAAAAGAGTTACATAAATATTTAATAAAATTCAAAATTTAGCACAGGTGTTTAGCCTAGCAATTAACAAGACCACACTTTATGTCAGGGTATCTGGATTTGATTCCCAGCTCTGGTTTCTCAATGCAGAGTTCCTCTAAGGCTGCTCGTAGGAGGCAACAGTGATGACACAAGTGACTGGGGCCCTGTGACCCATACGGGACACCTACACTGAGTTCTTGCTTGCCAGCTTGCCTGTCCCAGCCTCCATCACTGTGGATATTTACAGTGAGCCAATGAGTGAGACAACTTACTCTCTCCCTTCAACTCTTCTAGTTCTCCCTGTCTATATGTCTCATTGTGTCTTAAATAATTACAAATAAGTAAAAGGCTGAAATTAAGCTTCTGGAGGTTAAAATTCCACTGTGGCAAGTGGAAAAGACATTGGTTGAATTAACAGCAGATTAGATACTGGGGTAGGGAAGTTAAATGGGCCTAAAGAGATTGTAATGGAAACTATCTGAATTAAGCACAAAGAAATAATGATTATTATGAGTTGAGCACTGGTGAATCATGGTTAGATGCAGTATGATTGGAGTCCCTGAAGGAGAGGAAAAAAAAGAATAAAACATTTGAAAATTTTACAGGTCAAAGTTTTCCAACTTCAATGAAACTAATAAACCTACAATCAAGTAATTCAATGAATCATAAGAACAGAAAATAATAAAACTCCAGAGCATATCAGAATAAAACTGATCAAAGTCATTTATAAAAGGAAAATTGCTAATGGCAGTGTTAAAAGGAAGGCCTATTAAAACAACAACAAACACCCAAACAAAAACGAAAGAATGACAGAAACAAGTATTCTGACTAGTGAATGGGATCCCCATGTCTGATGAAGGAGCGCCTGGGTTTGGTTGCAGGCTTGCAGGCTTGGGCAGCTCACTTGAGTTTTCTATGGATTCTGACCCTGGAAGGCACTGCTGATGGGTAAGTAATGAGGTTCCTACCTACTACCAGGGAGATGTGGACTGTATCAGTGTCAACTTACAGAAGCTCTCTCTCTCACCCTCCTCTCTCTCTCTCTCTCTCTCTCATCATATAGATGATGTATCCATGTAACCACTTAATGATGCTCCTCACTGTTTTATGTACATGTGTATATGTCTATACATGCATATGTATATACACACATATACACACATATTTCCTTTCCCAAATAAAGGCGAATTCAAAAAAGACTAAAAGGCAAAATAACAGAAAAGCTCACCCCTGAAACAATCAGACTGTGCACCCAAAGTTTCAAGCTGCTGAAGTTTAAAAAGCAAACAAAAGAAGTCAATTAGATCTCTGTACCTAAAGAAAATAACTTTAAATAACAAAGTTTGATACTGTTTTGATATTCACAAATTGGAAGCTTTCCCTTATGTTTGACCTGAAATATAAGAACTACTAACGTCTATCTTACAAATAAAAAGGAAATGACAGAAACATAAATGCACACAGAGCAGTGAGGAGCGTCAGTAACTGTGGTTACACAGATGAATATATTATTTATTAAAACTTAAATCACCTTGCATCATGTAGCAGTGGCGGGTTGGGGGCGGGGCCTGGGAAGGGAGGGGTGAGAAGGTGCAGTCCGTTAAGGGCAAAGGTCGCTTTGAGCTGACTCCTCTTCCGCAGGGATCAGGGTCACGCCTCCTCATTGTTCTTCTGACCCCACGCTCTGCGTCCCTCCCCTCCCCCCAGGTCATCACCCCGGAAACGGCACCCGAACCGCTGAGCTGACAGACTGATTTCATGGCAGCCCCAAGGAAAGCAGCTGGGGGGCCTTTGGTGGGGGCGGTGGTCCAGGGCACCAACTCCACTCGCTTTCTGGTTTTCAATTCAAAAACAGCAGAACTGCTTAGTCATCATCAAGTGGAATTATCGCAAGAGTTCCCCAAAGAAGGATGGGTGGAACAAGACCCTAAGGAAATGCTTGAGTCTGTGTATGAGTGTATAGCGAAAACCTGTGAGAAACTTGGTGAAATGAATATCGATATATCGAACATCAAAGCGATTGGGGTCAGCAATCAAAGGGAAACCACCATCGTCTGGGACAAGAGAACCGGAGAACCTCTGTACAATGCCGTGGTGTGGCTTGATCTAAGAACGCAGTCTACCGTGGAGGCTCTGAATAAAAAGATTCCAGGAAATAACAACTTCGTCAAGACGAAGACAGGCCTTCCACTGAGCACGTACTTCAGCGCTGTGAAGCTTCGCTGGCTGCTTGACAATGTGAGACAAGTTCAACAGGCCGTTGAGGAAGGCAGAGCTCTTTTTGGTACCATTGACTCATGGCTCATCTGGAGTTTGACAGGAGGAGTGAATGGAGGTGTCCATTGCACGGACGTAACCAATGCAAGCAGGACCATGCTTTTCAACATCCATTCTCTGGAATGGGACCAAGAGCTCTGTGACTTTTTTGAAATTCCAATGAGCATTCTTCCAAATGTCTGGAGTTCCTCTGAGATCTATGGCCTGATGAAAAGTGGGGCCTTGGAAGGTGTGCCGATATCTGGGTGTTTGGGGGACCAGTCCGCTGCGTTAGTAGGACAGATGTGCTTCCAGGAAGGACAAGCCAAAAACACTTATGGAACAGGCTGTTTTTTACTGTGTAACACAGGTCGCAAGTGTGTGTTTTCTGAACAAGGCCTCCTGACCACAGTCGCTTACAAACTAGGCAGAGATAAGCCAGTGTGTTATGCTCTGGAAGGTTCTGTTGCCATAGCTGGGGCCGTTGTTCGTTGGCTGAGAGACAATCTTGGAATTATACAGACCTCAGAAGAAGTTGAAAAACTTGCTCAAGAAGTGGGTACTTCTTATGGGTGCTATTTTGTCCCAGCTTTTTCAGGGTTATATGCGCCTTACTGGGACCCAAGTGCAAGAGGGATCATCTGTGGTCTCACTCAATTCACCAATAAGAATCACATTGCTTTTGCTGCATTAGAAGCTGTTTGTTTCCAAACCCGAGAGATTTTGGATGCCATGAACCGTGACTGTGGAATTCCACTCAGCCATTTGCAGGTAGATGGAAGAATGACCAATAACAAAATTCTTATGCAATTACAAGCCGATATTCTGCATATTCCAGTGGTAAAATCCTCTATGGCAGAAACAACCGCACTGGGAGCTGCCATGGCTGCAGGAGCTGCAGATGGAGTAGGCGTCTGGAGCCTCGACCCTGAGGACTTGTCAGCTGTCACGATGGAACGTTTTGAACCACAGATCCAGGCCACAGAAACTAAATTACGTTACTCTACATGGAAGAAGGCTGTGACAAAGTCAATGGGTTGGGTTACAAATCCTGATGATCCTTCAATCTTCTCTAGTCTGCCCTTGGGTTGTTTTATAGTGAGTAGCATGATAATGTTAATTGGAGCAAGATACATCGCAGGTATACCATAACAATACCCACCATGGATTCCTAAGATGTGAGTTTTTTACATGATGAAAGAACCCGCAATTCCATCTCTCAGTATGATGACACTATTGTAGATTGTGATGTTATTTATAAACCTCTTGCTATATGTCCCATGGACACCTGTGGCTTGAAATAAATAAAACACAATAGAAAAGCAACTGGAGAAACATCTGCCGTCTTTTTTTGACAACAACAGTTAAGGTTTGGCCAGCCATCTTAAGTGCTAACTCCCTCCACTGCCACAATAGCCACCCTATAAAATAAAGGTTTTTCAGATTCTGTCCATGGAACCTTTCATTAATTATACATGGACAGTAATTCTTACATTAATTCTCTGTATGATACACACTCGATTTAGAGCTGTTACTAATCTGCTGAAGTTGAAATTTTTGTTTTATTTAAACCCCAAAGTCCTCTTTCCTACATAGTAGGGAGACTAACGCATCTTCACTGAATGCTTAGTATAAACATTTGCTAAATTCTTATAAGAGGAACTTTCTACTCACATAAAAAAATTCGCTAAATTGAAATTTTTCATACATCTTTAGTATAATTATGACATCACACAATTACTCTAAATTGTATGAATCTGGTGAAGATTTTGGCAATTTTCCTTTTACATTGTTGATTTTTATGCATTTTCATTGTTACATAAAGTATATATGTCTATATCATAAGATCACACTGTAGCTTATGTATAAATGGATAATCTTAAATGGGTTACTATATATACAAATATAAAAACATATGTATATACACAACACGTGTGCATATTATGAAGAGAAACTTTTAAAAATCTAAAACATTTTATTATATGTTCCATGTGAAATAAAAGTGTATTATCATTTCAATATTTTTTTTTTTAAAAACAATATCTACTTGAAAGAGTTAAGAGAAATAACTGGAACGATCTACTGGTTCACTCCCCTAGGTGGCTAAAATGGTTAGAATTGGGCAAAGTTAAAGTCAGGAGCCAAAAGCTTCTTCCAAGTCTCCTAGCTGGGTAAGAGAGGCCCAAACACAATTGTACCATCCTCTGCTGCTTTTTCAGGCCATATAAAAAGATCCAGTTCATATTAGGACCAGGACAGCAATTAGGCTAGTGTGGGATAGGTTACAGCACCCACCAGCAGGAGCTGGAATGGGGGCAGACTAGGCCAGGAAGAGCAATGAGCCTGCAGAAGCTCAGGTGAGGCAAGTCATTCCAGCCTGGGCCAAACAAGGGCCAAGTACATGAATCCCAGGGACAGAGGGGTCTCATACAGTTGGGTAGATTGGCTCAGGACATGGGTCCACATGTGTGGTGAGGGATGGGTTCCTGAGCTCCAGGGACAGGAGGAATTGGAAGGCTCTGGGTCCTTTGGCCCAGATCATGGGGCCCACCTCCTAGGTGGATTTTGGCTCCGTGAACCCCAGGGTGGGAAATCTGGGTCTCCTGGTCCGGGTCTCAGGGCTGGCTGGAATAATAAGTGGGTGTCGAGTTTGTGAACCCCAGGGGTGGGGGAGCCAGTGATGCTTGAGACATGTGGCCCAGCTTCTTGAACTTGCCTGCAAGAACATGCCCTACTTAATAAAAAGGTGGAACATTGTACACAGGCCCTGATGTAAAACGAGATTAAGGCAGCAGATTTGGTGCTGTAGCAGAACAACTAACTGGACAGCAACCCCAAGCAAACGAAGACAGCAAATAATTTTGGTGTACGGAGCCAATGGACACTGGGAGGGTGACATCCTTGGATCGGTGAAATCAGCATTTCAGAACTATGCAAGCCACTTGGAGAGAACCTTTGGAATATGTACACACTGAGACTCTGGGTTGATATGATGTGGTGGTTCCTCATCCCTGGGCACTGGGATGTGTGGAAAGTCATGAGTGGTTTTCCCCTTTGTTTCTCCCCTTCCCCCAGGAACAAGAAGAAATGGCAAATTTGGAAGTAACAAATTCACCCAATTCTCCCTAAAGCTTGATGCTTCCCAACCTGATCAACCATGTAATAATTATTTTTAAAAATAAAATTTAAAAGAAAAAAAAAAAAAGGACCCAGAAGAGAAGAGGAGCAGCCAGACTCTGAACTTGAGCCAATATGGGAAGCTAGTTTTGCAGGCGGCAGTCACTGGGTTCACAATAATATTTCTTGTATTTAATATTTTTCTGATTGTCTTAGCTGGACATTTACTGGAAAAAAGCACTATGGGATATGGCAATAAACATGGTTTTCAAGCAGAAAATGACTAGTCAAACAGAAAATAGTAATATACTATGGAGTTTAAGCATATTAAAAGAGAAATTAAAAGGACTTCCATTAGCTTGTTATTTATATACTATATAAAAAGCAGCATAATCACTTGGAGTTAAGTATCAATTGATGATTCAAATTGTAAATCACAAAGTAAATTACTATCCATCGGACAAATATGTATATAAACACCATAGTATAATCCTAAAGAGAGTAGACAGCAAATGAAAAGGGACAGAAAAATTGATAGGAAAGTATAAAACAATAGCAACCATATCAAAAGGCACATTGAAACGTAAATAGTGTAATCTGTAACAATGAATGATGTAGTTCCAAATAGCCAAAAGCAAAGAGTTTAAAAGTTCTAATGTGGTCCTGGCACGATAGCATAGTGGTTAAAGTCCTCGCCTTGCACATGCCAGGATCCCATATGGGCGCCTGTTCTAATCCCGGCGGCCCCATTTCCCATCCAGCTCCCTGCTTGTGGCCTGGGAAAGCAGTCGAGGACGGCCCGGCCCAATTCTGTGGAACTCTGCACCTGCATGGGAGACCCGGAAGAGCTCCTGGTTCCTGGTATCAGATTGGCTCAGCTCCAGCCATTGTGGCTGCTTGGGGAATGAATCATCGGATGGAAGATCTTCCTCTCTGTCTCTCCTCCTCTCTGTGTATCTGTCTTTCCAATACAAATAAATAAATAAATCTTTAAAAAAAGTTCTAATGCACAGAGCTGCGAATATATGAAATGCTGTTTACTTGCTGCTTATTACGTAATATCACACATGTATTGAACTGTATTCCATAATTAAGCATTAATATTATCAATTTAAAATTTTGAACATTAAATCATTTAAACAGTCTGAAACCCAACTGAAGAGTAAGATTAGCACATGAGACTAAAATATATACTGCATTCAGGAAGCATGACTCATACATAAAGAAAACATGGATTAAAAGTAAGAGAAAACAGGATGCTGTGTTAATACTAATTAAAAGAACTCTGGAGCGACTACAAATAACATCAAAATTTAAAAATAAAAAAATCTTAGCAATGAAAGATTATTTTGCAATATGAAAAAGGGTAAGTTTATCAAGATGATATAATCCTAAACATTTACACAGTGAAGTGTCAAAATATGTGCAACAAAATCTCATAGAACTAAAGGAAAAATAGCTACACATATGCAACAACAATGGGAGATTTTAGTATCAACATTTTAGAGAATAAAAAGAAAAAGTTTAAAGATTTATCTATTTATTTGAAAGTCAGAGTTCCAGAGAAAGAGGGAGACAGGGCTTCCATCCGTTGATTTCATTGCCCAGATGGCTCCAATGGCAAGGGCTGTGCCAGGCTCAGCCAGGAGCTCAGGGCGTCTTGCAGCAGCTGCTGAGAAACTTGAGACAGTGAGAGACGCGACATGAACAGGAAAGGGTAGGAACATGATTCTAAAGGGACATCAGAGAATTTGGGAGACTGATTACTTTCCATTATATGCAGGGATTTTAAAAAGTTTGTTGAGAATAGATCTGGCATTTATTTGTGGTGGAAACAACTTTTGAAACATATGGTAAATACTTTTTTATGATGTATATTTCCCTACTATGTTCGAATTACAAAAAAAAAAATTTTTTTCACCAAAATAAATCATCCAGTTCTCTTCCCATGAATTTTTGAAAGACTTTTGTAAAAATGTATCTCACGGCCCAGCGCAGTGGTGCAAGTGGTTAAGGTCCTCGCCTTGCACTCCTGGGATCCCATATGGGCGCCGGTTCTAATCCCGACAGCCCCACTTCCCTTCCAGCTCCCTGCCTGTGGCCCGGGAAAGCAGTCGAGGGCGGCCCAAGGCTTTGGGACCCTGCACCCGTGTGGGAGACCCGGAAGAGGCTCCTGGCTTCGGATCGGCATAGTATCGGCCGTTGCGCTCACTTGGGGAGTGAATCATCTGATGGAAGATCTTCCTCTCTGTCTCTCCTCTCTGTATATCCGCCTTTCCAATAAAAAAAAAATAATAAAAATAAATCTTTAAAAAAAATGCATCTCACTAAAACTATTTTTAACTGCAGTAAAACTTCAATCTCTAAAGGAATATAACTGAAGTTTGTCAAGCAGCTAGTCTTTGACTTACTGATTCATGCTGCCTGGTTGCACAGTCTGCTCACACTGGGTGTGCCAGTTCTCAGCTCCAGCAGGTTGCTGGGCCTTATGGGAAGTCATTTGTGAGATTATGCAGGATGAGTATATGATAATGTCCAGCACCATTTAAAACAAATTAATTTCCCATTTCATTTTTCTGTCCATAATTCTCAATCTGGGGCCTGTTGCAAATGACCTTTTAAAGAGGCAAAAACAAAGATACTTGTAAGAGTCTAAAACCCAGCATGTTGGTCTGGGTTTTAGACTTTGCATAAATACATTCCTGTGATATTCAACTTTCCTACACACACCCCTTTCCTTTTGCAAATCTAACTTCCACATAATACTGGGAAATTACAGTATTTTGTCCTAAGGCTAGAAGCTATATTACCAGAAAGCAGAACTACATGGTTAAATTATGACACACATGTGCAGGGTCCCAAGGCTTTGGGCTGTCCTCAACTGCTTTTTCAAGCCACAAGCAGGGAGCTGGATAAGAAACAGAGCCGCCGGGATTAGAACCGGTGCCCATATGGGATCCTGGCACTTTCAAGATGAGGATTTTAGCTGTTAGGCTTTCGTGCTGGGCCCAATTGAAGAATTCTATGTGATATTCATGTAGAAGTCACACTAAAAAGATAAACTGTATCTAGCTCGGCTCTAGCAGTGTTATCTGTATACCCTAGCCCAAGGGATTAAATATCTCACTCTCCTGACTGTATTGAGAATCCTGAATTATTATGTTTGTGCCAGATTTCTGTTGCTTATATTATCATATTGACATAAGTAGTC